AATCGATTAAGATAAGTTACGAATCGATTAAATTATCAATTTTAAATTTTTAATAATTTTGAATTTTTTAAGTTTCCGCGAATTTTGAGGACTCTTTGCCATTGGGTGCACACAACCTTTGTTCTAAGAGAGATATGAAAAAAATTATGAATACTTTTTTTTGCAAAATAGCATTGTGAAAAACTTTTATTGAAACTTTTTTTCCATATCTTTCATATTTCGCGAGATAATCGAATTTGCAATTGTTTTTGCGGATTTTCTTCCCCCCTATGCCGGGCAAATAATTTTCATTTACATATACGAGTTCCTCACGAAATTTCCGATAAAATGACCCGTGTTTCAATCATTTTCTCCATTACAAGGTACTCGTCAGCCATTTCCCTCATTTGACTGGACTAATATGGGAACCTTTTTGCATGGCACTTGCTCCTTACTGTTTAGCACTTTAGAGAAATTTATAAATCAGCCTACTTTTTGTATTAAATAAGCATCACTATGTCGCAAATTAACCATATCAGTAATCGATCGGTCATAGCTAAAATCAGCAGATCTACTGGCAAATCAGGAGCCCCGGCAACTCTGCCTACATTCGGAGAAAACTGTAGAACAAACTTCTACAATTGTAAAACTTTTCATTACAAGAGTAGAGAATATAGAGATAGAAACAAGTTGTAGTGGAAATTAATATAATATTATATCGAAGGAGGAGCTGAAGTGCTTCGAGAAATAGAAAAAACGTTGGCACAAATGTATAATAGCTGGTGGGGATTACTTCGAAGGGAACAAAACAGATATTCATGAAAAAATAGATAATTTTTGAAAAAACACAAAATTCGCGATACTTTTTGAACAGACCTCGTATACTAGATACAAACTATTTAATTCACTACACCGTATTTATTATTTATAAATTATATAACAAACGGTATCTATTATAAATAAATAATACATTCATTATTTTCTCGTCCTTAAGTCCACCCTGTATATAAATAGCATTCAAGTTACAATTTGATTAAATTTGTTTAAACTAACTGTAAAATTGATTGTATCATCGAACGAACGCGAGTATGTGAGCACGGTTTGTAATTAAACACTTTTATAATCATTCCAGGTCACCGATCGGGGAAGGTAAAAAGAATTACTTAAATCTACAATATGCATTAATTAATTAATTAATCAAATGGACTCGCCAATTACGTAAATTTCTATACATAAAATTACCTTGTTGCACGAGTTAATGAAGGAAATGTTTCTTGTTTATTACAAGTGCACGAACGAATGTATGTATAATACGTGCCAACTAAATTGGAGTATAAAAACTTTTAGCTCAAACTGGTTTATCACATACGCTACATTACTCTTTAAATTGTTCCTATACATCGGATATTATTGTTCCCTTAATTAATTTTTAATTGATTAAATTTGAAATTTGTGTTTATTTTACGAATGGAGCCGTCCTTAATATTGGTTGTAACGAACTCTCTTCTACTGGTTGTAATGAACTTTTATTTGTAATATTTGTATCTTTTTCTGATATTATGTATGTTTGATAATAATACATACACAATT